TCGCATGCGCATTTACAGGATTGGAAAGAATTAATTCGATTTCCCATCACTAGTATCTTTGACCCCTCCACTATGAACCATCCTTATAAATACTTAGCATCCCTTGTATTTGTTTATTGCCTTTCAATAACAACTGAAAACTACAATTGATTTGAAGAGTTTTGGGGTGATGGACGGTGGCATGGAGACCCAAAAGGAGTGTTGTATATGTGGAGACTGGGGCAATCAGAAAGAGCTCTTCAAGTGCCAGACTTGCTTGCTTAGATTCCAGCACAGGTAAAAAACAAGAGTACTTACATTATGTCTAATTCCATGTTCGAAAAATCGGCGTGTCCAACTCAGACCTGCCCCGAGTTACTTGGCCTCCACTGGCTACAAAGTTCGAAACCCAAATCATGGAATCTAGCCAAGTTGTGACGGTTCTCAAGATTTTATGGTTAATTTTTCTTCAGTGTTGGCTGATTGCCTGACTCAGTCTCAAAAGTCTATGACCTTAATCCTTAGTTTAAAACACTGGTTTTACTCTTTTTTTTTTAAACAGTTAGTGGGATTGGAAGGCACGATGTGCAACTGAGGTATGAGGTGTGCTACCACTATGACCTCGGCCCCTTTCCCAGAATACTGGTCTCACTCTTATTTTCAAGTCCTTTACTTGTTTTTATTTCTCTATTTCAGTGGTTGGTCTAGAGCTAGTTGACAATTTTATAAACAATATATATGGTATAATATGGTGTTAACTCTTATACCAAGTGAGGTTTTTTTCTTTTATTTTCATTGTGTGTTTTGCGTTGGGTGGTTGTAACATCTCCATTTTGATGTTGGTAACCCTAGTTCGAATTTTCATACTACAAAAGAACTTTTTCTCAAGAGAAAAAGGAAGATAAATTTTAAATAACTTTAACAAACAATTTGAAAAGAAATTAATGCAATGTGTTGGGTTACTCTTAAAATATGGTCGTTTCCGTATTTTTAATTATGTTTTGCTTGATCTGAGAAACAAAAATCAAATTGTGCTTTGGGAAGAGAAATTTATTTAAAAAAAGATTCATATACAATTAGCATACTTAAGTTTATTGTATTATTGCTACACCATCCCAGCCGTCGATACCTGTTGGATCAGTGTATCATTTCTCCATTCAAAATACCTGCAATGTTTTATAGACTTTGAACAGAGAAACGACACACTACAGCCATCTTGCCAGACATCTAATGATCCGGGGGACGAAAAAGTTCTATAGGAAACTTCAATGTTCTAATTGAACACACTTTTGCGCCTCTTGAGTCATGAGAATACTGTATAACAGTTAAAAAATATATAAAAATAAAACACCATTTTACTTCGTATGGCCAAGCTTGGTCCAGGTTAGCCCTGGCCCTAGCTTAGCTCAAGTTTGGCCATAACTCTATTTGAGCCAATAAAATTAATAAATAATAATAAAAAAAAAGGTTGGGTGTGGCCGGCCCTCGAGCCACATCTTGCGGCCCACCACTCCGGGCACATATTGTGGCCCAGACCCTAGCTTTTCATGACCCGACTGCCCCAACCCCAACTCTACTTATTCTTACCATCTTGGTCAATACACTAAAGGGGTGTGAAATGACCAAATCACCCCTTGTGGCGCAATTCATGCTATCGTTCAGTCCCCCACAGGAACGGGGGCAGTTTTGGAATTAATAAAAATAATTGGGAGTATTTTTTAAAGGAGTCTCATTTTGCATGCACATACGTACCCTTGCTTAGGGTTTCCTTGTACAGAAATACGGAAGCATTTATAGCATGTTCCCATGGGAGCATGCTGTACATTTACTCTCTTTGATACAAGACGTGCTTTTCATAAATATTTTTCTCTATGAAATCATGGGAAACAATTAACAATAACCACAACGATTCTTGAAATTTTTTTGGATTTTGAGTTCTTGAGAGATCTAACCCTCCAAAAAGTGGCCTTTGATAAATCCTAGCTTTACTTTTTATAGTCAACCCCACATCCTAGTCACCAATGTGGTTTCCATTCTAATCACTAAAACCACCCCACTAATACCTGTTTTCCCCCACTAAATTACTCCAAAAGTTAAAAATAAAAAATAAAATTTGGTTGCCGAGAAAATACTCCTGCAGGACCATAGAAACTTTTGGCAAAAAATTTTCCCAAAGCGTATTCGACTGGCTTATAATATAAATTTTCGCATGTGTTTCGACTTTCATTTACTGAATATCACCTTTATTCAGGAAGATTGATTCTTCATTTTTTTCCACAAATCTCTCTTTCTCTCTCTTCTCTGTCCTCTATCTCTCTCTTCACTCTCCTCTATCTCTCTCTCTCTCTCTCTCTCTGTTATTACTGATACTTGAGTGGCTTCTGGTGAAATCAGGTATTGCAGCAGATTATACATGGAGGCTCAAAAGTCAGGCATGAACCAGTGGACGTGTGAATGGTGTCTACATGAGAGAGAGAGCAATAACACCGCACCCCAAACTGCACCAACCTTTGTTTCTGACCAAACCAAGGCTCCAAGGAAGAAGCTCACCAAACGCCCTCGCTACAAGTCCTTGGTAGAATATTATTAAGCCAAAAACAAGTGCAATGCAAAAACACAATTTTAGAGAGAGGGAGAGAGAGAGTATGTGTGTGTGAGAGAGAGTGTGTGTTGTGTGTCTTGTGAGAGAGAGAGTGTGTGTGTGGGTGTGTCTCTATGTGTGCGTGTGTGTGTTGTGTGTCTTGAGAGAAAGAGTGTGGGTGTGGGTGTGTCTCTATATGTGTGTGTGTGTTGTGTGTCTTGAGAGAGAGAGCGTGTGTGTGGGTGTGTCTCTATGTGTGTGTGGGTGTGAGAGAGAGAGAGAGATGGGTGGTTTTAGTGATATCTGGTAAGAAGAAGCAAAATAGCTTAAAAGGATGAAGAGAAGGAAATGCTTCAATAATTTGGAAGTAATAACAATGTGAAATTAGTGTGTGACCACACTTGCCTCAAGGATCTTTGAATGTATGTTGCCTGTTTGTATCACCAATAGAATTGTATACATTTTTGGTGTCAATCTCTCTCTCTCCCCCCCCCTCGCTCTCTCTCTCCCTCTAAATGTATGCTGCCTCTTGGCATTCCCAATAGAATTCTATATATTTTTGGTGTCAACTCTCTCTCTGAAACTCTCTCTCTCCTCACTTTCTCTCTCTCTCAAAACCTCTTTTGAGCATGCACTTCTTACTACATTTGGGGTCTGAATATCCATATGGAGGTGAGAGAGAGAGAGAGATGAGTTTGAGTTATATATGGTATAAAAACAGCAAAAAAGATTGAAAGGATGAAGAAATCGAAAAGTACTGCTAGTTTGGAAGTATTACTAACGTGAAGGTAGTGTCTGACCGCACTTGCCTCAAGAATCAAATAGAATTTTATATATTTTTAATGTCACTTGCTCTCTCTCTTTCTTTAAATTTTCCTTTCTTTGGATTTGCATCTTTGAGGATATATGCTTGAAAGGACTTGACCAGGATTGAGTTGGTGGTTCATGTTTTTATTTATGTATTTAATTTTGTTGAGAATCGGAAAGAAAGGCCCCAATTTACATAAAAAGCATTATTTTATATGATATTGGACATTTTATAATCACAAAACTTTCAAATCAAAATTAATAAATAACTACATAAATACACGATTTTAAGGCACTGTAGTGGTCACATTTCCTCCATTAAGATAAGCTGCAAGTTGCAACTCTCCACGACATCAAAATAAGAACAAAATCATTATGAAAAGGGCAGGATTCTCCACATTAATTATTTTCTTAAGCAATAAGTTTATACGAGGTTGCAATCTTAAAATAGAGAATTATGTATGCACGTCAAAAATCCATCAAAGAAGGTTGTTTTCATGTTGAAAAACCCTTTTAAGTGATTATCTAGACATCCAGATCTATGAATAAAAATAAAATAATAATAATTTGATTACCAGAAATAGTGCATCTTGCAACACATTATCTTAACTGTTCATTTTCAAAATTTTCGTATATTTATAGAGCTACTTGAGTTTAATCATTTTTGGAGTTTAAAATTTTATAATTAGATATAAAAATAGATTTTTAGATAATTCTAAGAAATTTTTACACAAAAAGTACATGTTATAATAAAATTTGGGGGTACACCTTAATTGGATTGTTTAAGCTTTCAACCTTATCGAAACGACACCCTTTTCTTAAAGGGTGCAGTTTATATAGAGCCTAGACTCTAAACAATCAAATTAGAGCCTACCTTTAAATAGTGTCGAGAAATGTGGTTTCAATATTAGAAATCTTTGTGATAGTCTTGAAATATATTTTCATCTTTATATATAAAGTTTAAAGCTTAAAAAATAGTGTAGATCGAGTAGATATTTGAAAACATAAAAATTGACGGTCCAAAAATGCATTACAAAATACACTATTTCCAAATTGAAATCCCTTTTTTTCTCATGTCCATGCATCTCGATGTCGAGATAATCAATTCAAGGAGGAAATTTAATAAATTTCTTTTCCCTTTTTTGTTATCCCCCCACATTATTTTGATAAATTTTCCCTTTTTGTTATCCCCCACATTTTCCAGTTTCATATCTAGAGATGACAGAAACTGCAAACTTAAAGTTGGGTATTCCAAGATTTTATTAGGAATAAATTTTAAATATCAAAATTTAATTGAAATTTCACATAAAAATAAAAATAAAAAAATTAGAAAATAACAAGAGAAAAAAGAAAAACTATTCAAAAGTAAAAATCAAGAGAGGACTGTGGGAAAAAGGGCGTCATTTGAAAGCACACGAGATCTTCATGAAAAGAGTAGAACTTTATTACCTGTTCTTTACTTTCCAATTTTAATTTTCTCCGTCAACTTTTTATATTTTGTGGTGGGAAGGAGTCGTTAATGTTATTTTTGAAGCTTGACCACAAGATACTTTTTACAAGAAAACAGAAAAGAAATAAATGTTAGTGTATATTTGTGGGTAGATTGCTTAGGGTTGGGATTGTAGTTTCTCTCTCCAAGTTGCAGGTTTTGGTGATGATGGAGAGGCTGCATTGCTCTATTGAGATGGAGCCCAGGACCTTGAACCAAGGACAGCTAAGCCATGCTAGAGTATGACTTTCTCTCTCTAGTTAAGCCATGATAGAGTATGCCCATCCTCTCTATCTCTCACACGCATACGCACATACATAGACAGAGTTTTTATGGTGTAAAAATACACAGCTTCTATAAATGATACATAGAGAGCAATACTCTGAAATTGATGTTTTACTCTTTCTGAAATCAATGTTTTAAAAATCGTCGAGTCGGCTAAGAACTGGTGGTACGCCAGTCCCGAATAAATTTAAGAGACCCATTTTTTTTTATCTGTTTACACTAGCTCTTTTCTATTTCCAATAGGAAAAAGATTTCAAAGAATCAGGGAGCCGACGCAGAAACCGTGGGCGCCTGGTTTACCCAAAACTGCAATTAAGATAATGGAAAGAAGAGAGATATTGTGCTAGATGCTAGATAAGACTATGTATATAGATATGAAATACATACATTGAGGCCATTTACTTTTAATACATGAAGGTCACAATCATCATTGATCATTAGCTTTGAAATTGGGTGTTTGGGGATAAATCACTATTTGGGTATAAATTTCAAAATAAAATTTCTTATAACACATTTTCCTCTATTAGATTTCACCTCCACTAAAAGTGATTGTGACATATTTGTATAAAAAATAAATAATATCATAATATACAATCAATACATATAGAGACATTCTAGAAAAGAAAGAAAAAAAAGGAGAAAGAATAAAGAGAGATTCTATTTTAATAACTATGAAGAGGATTACCCCAAAATAGAAAGAAAAGCATGTAGTTAGATGGATGAACAGAGAGAGAGTAAATTAACAGTAAACAAGTCAACAGGCACACTCACAAACAGAGTTGAAAGAAAAAGACTGGGTCACGACTCGCTAGGATCCTCTACATGAGTCAAGTCCGACAGACTCGCCAGGTCCATCAGAAACTCGGTCAAGTCTGTGCCAAGATAAATTAATATATCAGTAACCTGCCAAATTCGGCCCGTTCACATATACATAGTCGGTTCCAAAGCCGAGTCACATAAAACAACACAGAGAGAGAGAACGTAGTGATCCTGATCTTTTTCACAGATTAAGAGTGGTTCTTGCAGTTCTTTGTAGGAAATCAAAGGAAAATACAGAAATACATTTTGAAATTTTGAAATTTTTAGTTTTTGGTATTCAGATAAAAGAGTTGTAAGTGCAAGTATTGGGAATTAAAATAAACAGTAATGAGGATAATCTAGATGCTTATTCTTTAAGAAATTAATTTCATTTTTGCAGTTAGTAAAAAGGGGACTGCCATTTTTTTCGAATTGAATTATTGAATCATGTTCTAATGTAGGAAGAAGCAGTAAAAGTTGTTCAAAAGAAAGACCCCAATGAAGCCCTCAACATATTCACTGAGGTATTTCCTTTTATTGGATTTTTATGTATTTTTATTCATTTCTCTTGTTCCTTGAATTTATTAGGGGCACATTTGGTTCGCGTGAAATAGTTGTCTTGTAGTAAATTAATTTTTTTGGAAATTGATTTTTTAGATTTAGATTTCACTTTTCTTTTTTTTTTCCTCATATTTGGAAGTACTAACTAGATTTCCAATGAAATTGTTTTCTTTCATTTGGTAAACTTTTTGGGAATCTACCATCCTGGAATCTGGAATATAAGCTATTTTAACTTTTAATCGTTATTATAGATATTATTGAGAAGGCCGTACTAATTATCTAATGAATGCGATATCATGAAAGTTGCCCATCTATAAGAAGACTAACAAATTAGTTAACTATTAGATCCAAAGATATTTTAATTGTTTATTATTTCATTCCCTCCCGCATGAAATGTTGATTTGGTATTGATATCACTATTATGTGAATTTTTACTCTTAAAATGGTCTCTCTCGCTCAATCTTAAATAGTCTCTCTCCCTCCGACATAAGTTTCATATTAACCCCATCTAGCACCAAGCTCATTAGATTTTAGTACAATGTTGAACCAAGTTTGCATCATAAATCATGAGAGGACACATGTTTATTCTCTTGGGCAAAACACTTGGAGATTTTTTTTTTATATGAAATTTCAGCGTCTATTTCGATGATTATTATCAAAGAGAAAAACTTGGATTTTGAGCTCTTGAATATCTAAGATCGTTCCCTCCAAAAATTAGATGGCACCAATGCAATCTTGGGTTACCATTCTTTCTAGGCACATCGAGACATAGTTAATTTTCTTTTTTACCTTTGAGTTTGGTTGCAGGATTCCAGAGATCACATCCCCAAAATTTGGGATACATAAAAGATACTATTATGGTAAATTTGACCCGAGGGAATAGATAGATAGCGTATAAAAGATCCATCTAAAAATTCACTCTCTCTCTTGAAACCCAATCTCTCTTTCTCTCTAAAAATCCTATCGCTCTCTCTCTTGAAACCCAATCACTCTTTCCCTCTAAAAGTCCAATCGCTCTCTCTCTCAACACATTTTCTCTCTAGAAATCCAATATCTCTCTCTACCTAAAAACTATTCTCTCTCTGTACAAACTCAAACTCTGTTTCTCTTTCTAAAAATCTATTCTCTCTCTAAATATTCATTGTCTCTCTAGAAAATCAATCTCTATTTCCCTTTCTAAAAACCCATTCTCTTTCTTTATCTAAAAATCCATTTTATCTAAAAACCCAATTTCTCTATCTAAAAACTCGTTCCCTCTTTAGAAACTCAATCTAAAATCCATTCTCTCTCTAGAAACCCAATATATTTATCTCTCTAAAAACTCAATCTTTCTTTCTCTTTCTAAAAACCTATTATCTATATGCAAAATCCCAATCTCTCTCTGTATTAAAATCCATTTTCTCTTTAAAGACCCAATCTCTCTCTAAAAACTCATTCTCTCTCTAGAAACCCAATCTCTCTTTCTATCTGTAAAACCCATTATCTAAAAACCCCTTTTCTCACTCTAGAATTTCAATCTTTCTTTTTCTATCTAAACTCTAGAATTTCAATCTCTCTTTTTCTATCTAAAAACTCATTCTCTCTTGAGAAATTTAATCTCTCTTTCTCTTTCTAAAAACTCATTCTCTCTCTAGAAACCCAAGCTCTCTCTAAACTTCTCTCTTTCTCTTTAAAACCCATTATCTCTCTCTAGAAACCCAATCTCTCTTTCTCTTTCTAAAAACTCTTTTTTTTCTCTCTCTAAAAAATATTATCTCTAAAACCCAATCTCTTATTCTCTCTAAAAACTCATTCTTTCTAGAATTCTAATAACGGTTTCTCTCTCTAAAAAACCATGCTCACTCTCTCTAGAATTCCAATACTTTCTCTCTAAAAATCCATTCTCTTTAAAAACCATTATCTCTAGAAACCTAATCTCTCTTGCATCCTAGTTTCTTTTTTTCTATCTAAAAACTAATTCTCTCTCTAGAAAACCAATCTCCCTTTCTCTCACTAAAATCCGATCTCTCTTTCTCTTTCTAGAAACCCAAGCGCTCTTTCTCTCTCTTGAAAGCAATCTATCTTTCTCTCTAAAACCCATTATTTCTCTAAAATCCCAATCTATTTTCTCTATCTAGAAACCCAATATCTCTTTCTCTTTCTAAAAGCCCAATCTCTGTTTCTCTCTCTAAAAATCCAATGTCTATTTCTCTCTCTATAAATTTAATATTTTTTAATTTTTTTAAAAATATTTTAGCATATGGTTTTTTTTTACTACAGCAAGAAAAATTTAGGGAAATTATCAAAAATATATCTTAATTTTTGCCTACTTAAAGAAAACCCCTAAACTTTCATAAACTTCGTCCACACCTTTTTTTTTCAGTTTTGACATCTTTTTTTTTACCGAAATAGCTTTCACAATAGTCGTATTACGGTAATAACTACCGCATTACATTACTTAAAGTATCGTAATGATAGATCCTTCACAATAATATGATTACCTTGAATGATATTGTTATAAAAAAAATGTCAAAATTGAGAAAAAAAAAATGTGTGGATGAGGTTTATGAAAGTTGAAGCCTTTTTTCTAATTAGACAAAAATTAAGATGTATTTCTAATAGCTTTCCAAAAGTTTAAGAGTGAAATAAATAAATAAAAAAGGAGGGGCTTCTTAATGGGTCGGGCCAAGCATTGGCCCAATGGATTCTTTTAAGGTCAGTTCAGGCTTTAATAGTACACATTCGGGTGCAATGCAGGTTTTTCAGGTACTGTTATTAGGCCGAGCCTTACAGGGTGAGGCCATAGTATTTTTAGGCTTTGCCCGCCTCAGCCCAGCCTGATGGCAGCCCTACTTACACCCCTACTACCAATTTTTTTGAAATAAATTGGAAACCAAATATTTTGATAGAAATTGGAATCATACGTGCGTAGATATGCATCCAATTTTGAACACTTTTTATGGAAATTAATTTCAAAGGTAAATAGATTTTTTACTCTTGTTGTGAACCAAACATCAGAAATTAGTTGTGTTTTAAGAAAATGATTTCTAAAAAATCATTTTCTTATGAACCAAACGTGCCCTAGATTTTTCTGTCTCTTTTTTATCATTCGTTTTGCTCTATGATCTTATACAATTTAAAGGCATTCTTCATGGAGATGCATTACCTTATTTTTTGCCAAAAATTTTGGACACATGCTTCCCTCTACCTTCTCTTTGATATCATACGGGTAAATTTCTATTTGCCAAAGATAAATAATAATAATAATAATAATAACAATAACAATAACAATAACAATAACAATAATAATAATAGTAGGGTGCGGTTTTTATAAGATTGGAACCTTAAACAATCCAATTAAGATGCACTTTCAAATTTTATCATAACATATATTTTTGGTATAAAAAATTCTTAGGATTATATAAAAATCTATTTTCGTCTCTAATTATAAAATTTTAAACTCCAAAACTGGTTAAAATCGTGTAGATTTGTAAACTTATGAAAATCTTGAAAATTGACGGTTTAGATAATGTGTTGTAAGATGCACTATTTCTGAAACTCGAAATCTTATATATATATATATATATATCTTGATGTCGACATGATCAATTAGAGGGTTTCTTTTCCGACGGATTTTTTTAGTACATATTTAATTCTACATTTTAAGGTTGCAACCTTATATAAACAATAATAATAATAATGTTAGGAAGAGTGTACAATGAGACAATTTACTTTTTGTATAAGGTGTCATAATTAATCTTGACTATTGGATGTGAAATTTGATTGTTGTATTTATTCTATTGATCAAACCCAAACTTCAAAAGAAATTTTCTTGAACTGTGTGACATATCCAAGCTATCAAACTTCACATTTAATGGTTATAAATAATAGTGACCTTTTTGTATAAAAGGTAAATTGTCTCATTGTATACAATCCCATAATAATAATGATAATAATACTAAAAAAAATTATAAACGATATCCCCCTTATTTTTTGGTTATTAAAAATAAATCCCAAAATTTTCAAAACTTCATTCATTCGCCTTTTCACCATTTTATCCTTTTATTTACTACAATACTTTTTTCACATTGGTCTTAGGCCCTTAAAGACATCACAGTCTACTCAACCCCATGATGGTTTATAGAGGAATCATATTGTATTTAAATCATCACGGTTCTATCCAAACCATGTGCGAAGTTAGTATTTGAATCATCACGATACGTACATAACCCTGATGGTAGGCTACGTTGATGCAAACCATGACAGTCGCACCACCGTGATACCCCTTTCACCGACCTTAAACTAGGTTCTATTAGGACCTTGATGGTTAGATAGCTACTCACAGTTGAAGAGCTATCACAGTATTGTAATTGCTGTGATGGTCCAAGTATTAACCTATGTTCACGGTTCAGCTAGGTCCACGATAACTTAAAACCCAAACCAAGAGGGCTTGAACCCTCTACACCACTATGGCTTTGGGTTAACCGTGATGCTTTCACAGATCTATGACTATTGTGAAAGGTAATTTAGCAAAAAAAAAATGCAAAGAACTGTGAAAAAGGTATGGATGAAGTTTTGAAATATTTGGAGTTTATTTCTAATAACCTAAAAATAAAAAGATATTTTTTATTACTCTTCTTTAATTATAATGACAACAACAATAATAATAATAATACACATTGGAGAGGATTTTTAGAACTAAAGGCATGCCATGCATTTTGCAAGTTAGATATTGCCCTTACAGTGTTTTAATATCGGATTAGTTGGTCAAACAAATCACCCACGTCTGGAAACTGCCCAAGGTATATTGTTGGTTTTCCAAGGTTTTCCAAGGTTTTCTTTGTTAAAAAATAAAAAAAATGAAAAACTGTGGGAACCAGTAGGAACGGGACAAAAATGGGAAGTTATATATCCAAATGGTATACACCAAGGTTTTCTTTGTTAAAAAATAAAAAAAATGAAAAACTGTGGGAACCAGTAGGAACGGGACAAAAATGGGAAGTTATATATCCAAATGGTATACACCGATCCGGCCCAAGGATTTATTCCATTTTTGTTGCTGCCTAAAATGGAAGTAAACTATGATATGGTAACGTTTGAAGCACTGGTGTCATACACTTCTCCTAGTAAGAATTACACAGAGATTTAGAAATTATTTCTAGTTGACTAAGCCCTGGTCTAGAACAGGTAGAGTTTGTTCTTGCTTGTCAAAGTACGAGGTTTATAGGTATGAGTTTTAAAGTTCTATTTCCCTATGGGTTTGTATGTGATAAAACCGTTCACTTTTGGAATAAGAAGGTCACAATTATTTTTAGCTATTGGATGTGAAATCATACATAAGCAAGTAAGTCACAATATTGGAAAAAAAATTTGGACCTTGTACCCAGTTAATACGACACATCTCCAATTACCCGATTTCAAATATAATGGTTAAAAATATTTGTGACCTTCTTATACCAAAAATAACAGTCTTAGTGTATACATTCCTTTTTTCTCTAATGGTTCTTTTGAGCTATGAAGCTCCCATCACCTTCTTTGATTTGTTGAGATTTGGTTGCCAATTTTGCTAGATTTCATCCCTTGAGCTTTTAATTTCTTGTCTTTGAGTTTTGATGCTCATTGCTTCGAGCTTTAAAGTTTCTCCATTCGGACTTGAAGCTTTAATACTCTCTCTAGATTTCATACAACTGATAATGGTTCTCACCACTAAAAACGATGGAGCTTTGGTGCTGTATCTTCAAGCACTTGACACTAGGTTTATTGTTGCATTGATGGAAGCATTTCAATCTTTGATGTTAAGAAAATCCAAATTCTGGTCTTTCTAATACTTGAAACCAACAAGGCAGAATAGGATGAGGTTTGGCGCCATAAACAACCAAAGTAAGGCACACCCCAAAATAATGCCGAAAGATCTGGTTCAAGTGCTGAAATCCCTATAATGGTATACATATCTATTTTTATAGCTAATTATGAAATTTAAAGCTTCAAAAATATTGTATCTCGAGTAGATCTATAAACACTTGAAAATCTTGAAAATGAACGGTCCAAGTAATACATTGTAAGATGTACTATTTCCAAGACTTGCAATACTTTTTTTATTCACATCCATACATCTCACGGTTGAGATAGTTAACTACAGGGTTTTTCGGTGAGTTTTGAGGTGTGCCTTATTTTTATAGTATAAGGTTCACATCTTATATAACCTTTTTCCCGCATAATATTTAGATTGTTTAGATATAAACATAGTCACCATAATAGTCCCAACAATAATTTTGTTTTTCTACTTTGGCATGCGCTACATAGCCATATATATCGTGTCGGTGTCTGAAATAGATACAAACATTCAAAATACCAATTTCAAAATTAATCTTACAAATACAACACGTCCATAAACTATTTAAAAAAGCTGGGGAATTAGGATTTTAGGTCACATTAAGTATTTTGATGATGAGATCTCAAGAAGAATAAGATGCGTCTAAGTTTCTAAATATGAAGCATGAATATTGTGTCTTTGGACTGTCGACGAGCTTAAAAAGTCATGTACATGTGTGGTCATATAGCATAGACTTCTGGTGGCGTGGTTATTTTCTCAATGGGAAATCTACCACTACTTTTCAACTATTTAACATTACTATTCCAACTCCAGATCATGCGTATTTTGATTGGCATTTTAAAATTAAATCAAAACATAAAGGTAAAATGTTATAGTCAACATCTCTGGTATATTTTGATAAATTTCCCTTTCTCAATTAAAGACTAAATATATTTATTGGGCCATAATGTGAAATTTTCAATTGGGTGTGGTTTATGTAGAGTTGAGGTGCTAAACAATCAAAGTAAAACACGCCTTTAAATATTGTTGAGAAATGTGGTTTCAATACTAGAAATCTTTGTGATAGCTTTAAAATATAATTTCATCTTTAATTATAAAAATTTAAATATTGAAACATAATGTAGATCGAGCAAATCAATGAAAACTTGAAAATATTGAAAATTGACCGTCCAAAAATGCATTACAAGGTGCACTATTTTAAAAACTTGAAATCCATTTTTTTCTCATGTCCATGTATATTGATGTCAAGATGATCAATTTGAGGAATTTGGGCATCAAAACAGCCTATTCTAGTAAAATTTTTGAGGTGGGCTCTAATTTGATTATTTAGAGCCCCACAGCTATATAAACTTTTTCCTTTTCAGTTATACCTTTAAAAAATGACCACATAATGATCAAGACTAATGAAGGCCATATCTTGTTATCAAACAATTAATTCCCCCACTCAAACCTAAACCTATTGCTTTGAAAGGCTATTTTAAAGTTAGATAATCCATCATGTATAGATATAAATGGAATCTATAATATGTATATATGTTCGTCATAAAAGTACTAGATCGTTTCCATCTAATTTGGTGAGATTCCATTGACCACACTCTCACCATTACTGTTCAAACCGTTGGTTGGACAATGATGACCCTTAGGACCATGATGTTATATGATCATATGGACCATGGTTTTTTTTTTTTTTTATTATATGATGATATGGATCATGGGTTTTATTTTTTTAATTCGCTAAACATTCTTGTTACATGGTTATTTTTCACATGGAGAGACAGGGCATGAAGCCGATTGTTTCAATTGAAAGTATGAAGAATGAGATTGAGAGGAAAGTAGAAATAATGAAACTCATTGAGAAGATGGAAGGTCCGGATGGTATTAAGAGGTCATGGAACGAACCCCCTGGCAGTTGTTGCTCAGATCACTCCCCAGAAGACAGTAAAATTGTCGAGCCCTTAACCGCTCCCTTCTAAAATACAGTAAGCAGAAAATGATCATCATCGTACCATGTGTGTGTGAGCAGGTTTGTTGCACATGGGCACACACACGTGATTAAGGCATTTTCAGCAGAATCCTTGTAACTTGCATTTTCGCATTAAAATTTAGCATTTGAATTATGGTCTATGTCACCTTTTGTACTATACACCAGGAGTAGATTTGTGTGTGTGCGCATGTGTGTGTATTTTGTACTTGTGTATGAACATAAAGGCATGTAAACTAATGTTCAGCAAGAACCTCGTATTTTGCATTTTTATGGACACATATGCTACTACTGCTTCCCTCTGTGTGTGCACGTATGTGTATTTTGTACGTGCATGAACATGCATGCATGTAAATTAATGTCAAGCAAGAACCTCGTATTTTACATTTTTATGGACACGCATATATTACTAGTAATACTAGGGAAATTTATCAAAATACACCTAATATTTGAACTATTTAACATTTTTCCCTTGGTGTATTTTGATAATTGTGTCATACCCGAAGCTCTAAACCCAATAGATTGATTTTTAGCAAATAAAGTATGAAGAACTAAAACATCAAATACACACCACAAGAACGTAAAGATTTACATGGTTCACTCAAGAGAACTGCATCTACGGCACATTAAACTAAAATCCACTATATCAATGAAAGCTACATCAAAGATTTTGATACAAACCTTGACAAAAACCCAAGTCGAACAAACCCTTTTAAACCACTCTCTTTTCTTTCTTTTTATTTCCGGCAATCTTTACCGACAACGCCAGCTAGGGACGCGAGAGCAACGAAAAACTGATTTTCTCTCTAACTAAAAGGAAAACTACCCTAAATCTTAATGGAAACCGCTTCTCTATAAGAAACAAGCCTTTCAATCTCCATAAGTTTACAGAAAGCACCATCACAATGTTTCTTTCTGTAATAAGCTCTCTTCTCTTTAAGAGGAAGCAATGTTCCTTTCCATAAAAAATTATCTCCTCTATAAGAGGAAACCTTGCATCTTATGCACAAGAGACTTTTCCCCCCTCTCTCTCTTGAGGAACCAATATTCTCATATGGTGACCCAATAGGGCACACAAATTATCTGCACTTTCATCCTATATATATATATATATATATATAAGATTAGGAGTCCATACTAAATAGGAAACTTCCAATAGATTGCTTCATAAATTCTTCATCTTTTGTCAAATAAATTCCTCCATCATTATTGCTGAAAAATAGTATTTGCCACTTGAACTTTGCATTCGAAACATTTACTGCCACAAATCAAAACCAGACTCTGATAGCACTTGTTGTACACAGAAGCTCTAAACCCAATTCGTTAATTTTTTACGAATAAAGTACGAGAAATAAAACATGAAATACACATCACAATAACACAAAGATTTATGTGGTTCACCTAAAAGGGTTATATCCACGGGCACTATAAACTGAAATCCACTATACCAATGAGAGTTACATCAAATATTTTAGAATAAACCGACAAAAATCCAAGTCAAGCAAACCCTTTTAAACCACTCTCAATTTCTTCTCTTTACTTCTGACAACCATTACCGATAACAACACTGGATAGAGATGTGAGAGCAACGAGAACTAACTTTCTCTTTAACTAAAAAGGAAACCACCCAAAATCTCAATAAGAATCGCTTCTCTACAAGAAACAAGCCTCTCAATCTCCAGGAGTCTACAGGAGACACCGTCACAATGTTTCTTTCCGTAAGAAGCTATCTTCTCTCTAAGAGGAAACTTTGCATCTTATGCACAGGTAAGAAGTTTTCTTCTCTCTAAGAGAAAACCTTGCATCTTATGCATAATAGGCTATGCGGCCCCCCTCTCCTTATGTCTAGAGGAACCAATATTCACAAATGGTGACCCAAATAGGGCACACAAATTCTCTACACTTTCATCCCATATATAAGAATAAGAGTCCATACTAAATAGAAAACTTCCTATAGATCTTACATATATCTCAAAACGAAAAGATATATCCAAGAGTCCTAATCTTTTTGGATTTTTATTTGCTTTAGGAAACTTATCAATATCAATATCAATTCATATAGGAATATCTCAATCCCACGTACTATAAAAATATCTCAATTCCACAAAATATTGGATTTTCTTATATTGGTGATTTTGGATAGCATCAAATCCACATCATATGATGGGCATTTTGAATTTGATAAGAAATCTTATGGTAATTTGAAATCGGATAAAAAAGTATGGGTAAGATGCTAAATGGTTCAAGAATGTAATCATCACCATCATCATCATCATCATCATCACCATCACCATCATCATCATCATCACCATCACCATCACCATCACCATCACCATCATCATCAAGTAGATTTGCAATATTCATCAACAACAAGAGTTAATAAAATTTAAGGACATTAGTAAATCTATAGCATTGAGTTCAATTTAAAAATTCATAATAAAAGAGGGGGAGTATTCCATGCTAATTTTTGGGTTTGCTACACTTCTCTAGCACCTACACTGCCGTCCTTTGTTTATGCCGGTCGCTTGGAGTGTTGTTTGACAACTGTAGAAAATCTAAGTGCTAGCATTGCATATGAACTCAATTTATTTGTACTTCTTAGCTAGGGTGTATGGGTCTTGATGATCTATGGTCTAAGATTAAGGTAGTATGGGTAGTGTGAACTAGGGTCTATGGTTAAGACGGTGTGGATAGAATAGACTATGGTTTATGGCTAACTTTCATATTTATTGAAATAGTATTTTTTTAGTTATAACTTTCAATTACTATAAAAAAATATTTAAACATATCCATTACTTAATTGCATTTCATTGACTTCTTCAATGATTTTCTAGTAATTCTAGACTCTAACCCAACGCCCTTTGTAACTGATTGCCCTAACTACCAAGCCAAGAGCAATAACCTCAAACATGGAACACTTGATATTATTCCCTAGTGAAACATAGCTTTCACACCTCCCAATTTACTCTCATTTCTTAGGTTTTTGGTTTTTTAACATGGCACATTTACTATTTCACTTAAAGCACACAATATGTTTGTGGAAATGTATTTTATGTGAGTAGTATCATTCTATAGTCATGATCGAATATTAATAACTACATACGTATTATGTGGATCATGTCAAGCGTGGATCATGTCACGCTCTCGATGATGAAGTAATGAAGTTATTGGTCTTACCGGTTCTTTCAGGTGAAAACGAATTTAAATTTATACTCTTATGCACTTGGTAGATGTAAAAGTGGAAGAGTTTTCAGAGTAGATGATTTAGTAAGGATAGAATAAGGTGTGCCAGATGAAGTATATTGAAAATAGGGTGTTAGAGAATACTGATTTCAAACACAAACCAATATTTATTTCCAGGTTAGATTAAAATTTAGATAGATTTATGTTCTAGAAATATATTGATGGTTCCAATCCAATCCTGTATACATGGTTACAATCCGATATCTCTGATGTTATAACCCGATCCCACATACATGGTTCCAATCCCATATATTTGCCTTCGCAAACTCGATTCTACCAAATAACCAACATCTCTAATATCTCCTAAAACAAAATGGAGAGATCCATAAAGACCAATATGGCTAACCTCTATTTAAAGCAAAATGAATTTAATCTCTCCTCAATCAAAATGGGGAGATCGATGAAACCAAGGTAAAAAAAGTAAATTAAAAAGAGATTAAAAAAAAGTTACCGAAAATGACTTAATCCAATACTAAAACTTTTTCAATTGCGGTAAAACTGCCCAATTTGGGTACAAGAAAGCGATAAAAGAATATATAAAAAGAGTGGTGAAAAAAAAATAAAAAAATAGAAACAGTACTATTTTTTCCAAACCATCCCAATAAATGGAACGATGTTCCTCTTCGATCGCGGTAAAACTGCCCAATTTGGGTACAAGAAAGCGACAAAAGAATATATAAAAGAGTGTTAAAAAAAAAAATAGAAACAATACTATTTTATCCAAACCATCCCAATAAATCTACGATATTCGTTTCATTTTGGCCACTCGCATCCAAATTTCGGCCCTAGAATATTGATGTAGACCGAAACACCAAGTTTTCACATACTTTTCAAAATAGATATTTGATGTTTTGTTAATAAAAGCAAATTCAAGAGAGATATGAAAGAGAAAGGTAGAGAATTAAATTAGGGAAATAGAGAATGGAATGTAAATATACGAAACCGCTTAACTTTTATTCCGCTTTTCAAGATGGGTATTTGATGTTTCGTTAATAAAAGTAAATTCAAGAAAGATTAAAAAAAAATGTATAAAAACTTCAATTAGGGAAATGGAGAATGGAGTGTATACGAAACCGCGTAACTTTTATTCGGTTTTTCAGGTGGGCATCGGATGTTCTGTTAATCAAAGAAAATTCAAGAAAAAAAATAGAGATAGTTCCGTTAATAAAATCAAATTCAAGGAAAAAAAATTAGAAAAAAAGAAATTAGGGACTTAAATTGGGGAAATGGAAAATGGAGTGTAGGCATACAAAACAGCTAATTTTTTTTATAGGGTGTTTACTCACGGATCCTAAAATTTTTTCTACAACACAAAATGCTCCCTTTATAGGCAGAAATTACAAAGAAAGTCGGTTTGCGTTTTTTATTTTTCCAAAATTGCCATTTGGTCATTGGATAGAATCCTCGGTCCGAATTTAAAAAAAAAAAATCAGTTTTTTTATTAGTAGGGCAATGTCCCAAGCTTTAGGGTAGTGCCCTACTAATGAAAACACTAAAAAATTAAAATTTGGTATAAGGATATCTTCGGACCAAAAGGTAATTTTGGAAAAAATAAAAAAATAAGTTAACTCACCTTCTTTGTAATTTTCACCTAGAGCATTTTGTATTTTAGAACAAAAATTTAGGGTCCCTACGTAAATCACTCTTCCCTTATTTTTTTTGCATTTCGCCTTTATAGATTTTTAAAATTTTACTGGAATGACCCAAATCTGGAAACTGCCCAAGCTGCCTTGTTGGTACTCCAAGGTTCTTTATGGGTTGTAAAATGAAATAAATAAACAAACTGCGAGAACCAGTAGGAACTCGACAAAAAATCGGAGATTATGTAACCAAATGATACACCGATCCAGCTCAAGGATATATTCCATTTTTGTCATTGCGATAAAACATGGAAGTAAACTATGATATAGTAACATTTGAGCATTATGGCACTGGTTTCATACACTTCCCTTGGTAAAAATTAAAAAACTTAGAAATTATTTCTAGTTTACTGGGCCCTGGTCTACAATATGCACAGTTCAAGTTTGCTCATGCTTG